TTGTTCCTCCACCACTCCAACGGGCTCCACATTCGCGGCAGCGTCGATTTCAGGCGTATGCTCCACGTAGGTCTGATCGTCCAGATCATCAGGGTGTTGATCAGAGTTGTAGCTGAACTGCCCCAGTCTTAAGAGATCGTCGTTGCTGGTATATTCTATTTTGAGGTCAAATCTGAGGGAACGTTTGCCGGCGGACTTGTGTACACAGTCACCTCCTCCATCCAACTCGACAATGTAATCATCCATCTTTGCAACTTATGGATCCCGCCGGCCGTGTAGTGATGAAGCAGACCTATCGTTCCCGACGGAAATGGAGAGAAATAGTAGAGGAGGGAGGGGGAAATAGAAACAAGGGAACGGGAGTAGAAATTCCATTTTCCCCATCCAGCTAAATTGCCCCTTCCCATTCATAATTAATATGAAAGTTAAGACTTTCCCCATTCATATTTATTAAAACTGTCACTAATACTTGCCTAATAATTAAGTGTAAAACAGACCAATCAAAAGGAGGGTGTCAAAAAGCATACCCCTTTTAGGGGTTAGCATAGTACCCGATCCCTAATTCCCCCCTCCCTCCACTGCTATTTCTCTCCATTGCCGTCGGGAACGATAGGTCTGCTTCATCACTACACGGCCGGCGGGATCCATAAGTTGCAAAGATGGATGATTACATCGTCGAGTTGGATGGAGGAGGTGACTGCGTACACAAGTCCGCTGGCAAACGTTCCCTCGGATTTGACCTCAACATAGAGTATACCAGCAACAACGATCTCTTAAAACTTGGGCAGTTCAGCTACAACTTTGATCAACATCCTGATGATCTGGACGATCAGACCTACGTGGAGCATGCGCCTGACATCGACGTTGCCTCAAATGTGGAGCCCGTTGGAGTCGCGAAAGAACAACAGAATGGTCTCATTTATAATCTGTACTCATGTGGCTTCGGCCTTTCAAATGAATGAGTACCACTGCAGTGGTATGTTTTACTTTTTATTGCACAATTCCAAACAGCTCTTCTTATACAAATTTGTTATAAATTTTTGCAGGTTGGAACGTTAGTAGTCATCTCTTGACTGTTAACGGTCCTATCTAGGTACCACACCATCAACAGATGTAGATCTCCATTTGTATATTTCGCAGTCTTATTCTGGCGAAACGATTGCTTCATAAAACTCCACAAATACTGGCACCAATTGTATTCGGCAAACTCATTGAACTCATCGTCCTTCAGGTACGCCAACACCGAAGATTCAGTAACATTTTTTGTGTTTGGTTTGAACAGGTATCCAAAACAAAACATGACAAACAAACGTATCCACAACTTGTCGTCTTGAATGTTTAGTAACAGTTTTTTAAATTCCACAGCTTGTTCCAATCAGGGTCTTCTCCGCCCATACTAGGGAGTTCATCACACACCTCTTTGCACCTATCCCAATCAAATGTCATCGCCATCTTTTTACCGCGAGGAAGTCCATACACTCGATGAACATCATCAACTGTAAATGGCATTGCAGTGCCGTCATCCATGATTATGGACATTGTATCCGCATTGAACTTGTTTACCAACCAATTCAAAAGGGGCTTGTAAAAACTCTTCATTTGCAACTCAAAGACAACACCCAAACTCAGCTTCTTCAGCATAGCCCTTCTCTCGTCTGATACTCCATCATTCACGACTTCAATTATCGAGTTAGGGTTGCACTTCTTGCCGGATACATCATTACTACGTTTCCTCTTGCCCTTACCTTGTTCTCCCTTTTCCTTACTCTCACGGCGTCGTTTCTTGCTGGTACCTGCACTAGAGGAAGGAGTCTGATTTACCCAAACTTTCACCTGCCTGAAAATATAGGTTGCAGGCTTCTTGCCAGCAGCCTTCTGGCCCCCAGGATTCTGGCCTGCGGTTTTATTGTCTGCTGGCACCTCAGGACTCGTTCTCTTCGTCCTTGTCATTCCTGGTTTCATTAGAACACAAGTCCATACTAACAACTAAACATAACTACCAATGTAGTTGTACTTTAAACAACCATAATGATTTTGTAAATACCACTTCAGTGATAGTCCTACACACAAATACATTACAACGAACTACCAGTGTAGTGATATTTCTACCACTCCAGCGATAGATCTACCACTGCATGTGAAAGATCTACCAATGCAGCGAAAGACACAATATGTCACTGCACTGATAAATCGACTACTGCAACGAAAGATCTACCACTGCAATGATAGACACACTATGTCACTGCAATGATAGATCTACGACTGCATTGATCGATCTACCACTAAAGTGATAGATATACCACTGCATGAATAAATAAACACAGTATGCCACTACAGCAATATATCTACAACTGTAGTGCAATACTGTACTGAAGGAGACGAATAAATATATGAATTGTGGTCATTTAAGGAGAATTGGCTCACCTTAGCAAAATCCTGCCGCCGCCATTATCGGCTTATATAAGCTCTGTCGCAGATAGACGGTCGTCGATGGGAATCGATCAAGCGCAACAGGAAAAAAAAAAAAAGACAAACCAGGTTCGAAGTTGAGGGTTCGGGATGGAAGACGGAGGACGTCCGACGGGAGTGATGGGTCGACCGCTGTTGTTAAGGAGAGGATGGGTTACGGCGGGGGATAGTGATTAGACGAGTCGGCGGGGAATGGTTACGGTCGGGTTCTGAACAGAGAGAGAAGGAAACCAAACGTTGACATAAAAAAAGGTAAGAGGGAATGAATTTTAAATTATGCGTTGAAACCAATTTTTTTCATTTCCGATGTATGTTGGGATAATTAATTACTGAATTAATTATAAATTATCAACTGTTTACTTCCTACCATTAGATTAATACTATTGGGGATGGACGGTAAAGAAAATGGGTGTTGAAAATCAGACCCCTTTAGGGGATAATCACGCTAACCGGTCCCACGTAGGCTAGCTAAAACTTAGTTATTAAAGTGGCTTCCTCCTCAATTCCAAATTCCAAGCTTATTTCCCCCACTACACCATGAACTCACTAGATTTCACTAATGGCTTCTTGGAGCACATAATTAAGAGCCAATTAATCTCATTAACACACTACGTTTCACTACATGTCCCTAGTTCCCGTACATCGAATGCTTTCTGCCAATCATTGGCAAAATCCTACAACAAACCCTAGCATGCATCTAAACTTCCTTTGGAGCTAGAATCATCCTCGATCAACGTACGAGATGCGATTGGACAAGGCTAAAAGTAAGGAAGCAAGCGGCAGTGAACGAGCTCTTACCCTACTTTCCTTCGGAAGCAGCTGTCGTTCGTCGGGGCTCTCCTGCTGTCTCCGGTCGCCGCAGATGCTTTTCCGTCATCTCTTCACAGATGAGACCTCTTTGAGCCTTCACCTTGCCCCGTCGACGCGACCGCCGACCGCACCTGTTGGCTTCCCTCGTCTTCCTCATTGTGGGTTTGCCAAACTTGCCGTAACCCTACTGGTCTGCTCCCTATTTCTACAGTCGACAATGTGGCCCAATCGCGACCACAAGAACTTGGGCCTTTCCGTTGCTAGCAAAGCCGACTTGTAGAAGAGAATCATGGGCTACAGTGGTGATGGCCCAGAGGAGAAGACGAGTTACTAATAACGATACCCTGGACACTAGGGTAGGGTCCATTAGTCAAAGAAAGTCACGGTACCTCTGTCTTTATTTTTATGAATAAATACCATGGGCCATTGACACTTAGGATATATAATATTAATAGGGTTAATACTCTAATTTGGCCTCAAGATTGGCGCAAGTGTTAGTTTTGGTCCCAATTTTTCAATAAGACCGTTGTGGCCTACTTTTCAAATTAATGGACAGATTTGGCACTAATCTTTTTTTGACCGTTAATATTGACAGTCAAACAATTATTCCATTAGTGACTCAGAAAAAATTGCTGATGTGGCTTATACATGGTGCAACATCATTAAATAATATAATTTTAATTTTGTCATTCAATTAAAAAAAATAAAATTAACAAATTAAAAAAAAATTCCCTCCCATTATCCCATCATCCCAAAATCCCAAATCCAAACCCTAATCTTAATCAACCATCATCGTCAAAATCAATCCTCCGACCTCCGTTGCTGAAGCCCTCTCTGCCCTCCAATCCTCCGGCCACCACGACACCGATACCGATGTCCTTCCCCTTTTACCACTCCGCCCTGCCCTTCCTGAAATGGCGTCCCCCACAGACCCCTTCCCTACAAAAACTTCACACCTTCTGCTAATATGAACCACATTCCAGATCACGCCTCAGCATCCTCCGCAGCGAAACTTCGAGCGTGGGAGAGAGGTCAAGGAGGAGGATGAGATCGGAGGAGACCGGGCGATAGTCTCTGGATCCAGCACGGCGACGCGCGACGGAGTTGGAGGGGTCGCACGGGCCACGGAGGGAACTCAGACACGTCTGTGGAGGACGGCGGTAGGACTCGAAGTCAAGGGCATTGGTGGCAGGGACAGGGATGACGCAAGCAACGTCTTTTTTGTTGTTATTTCACTTGTTTGGGCTAGAACATGTTGGGTATTAGCGGAAATGTGGTATGATTTAGGATCAACACAAAGGAAACATATGGTGTTTAATCACTCAATTTAAGAAACACTCAAACAAACATAGCCTTATAATAATTGGCTTATGCTTTAACTCACAAATTCAGAACTCATACACGGCAATTTTCTTTTCTTTCTTGCCAACACTTTCTGACTCTCTACTTCCCATGCCCATACTTTGTTACATATATATATCATGAAAGTAGAAAGAATTACATATCAATTGACAACTTGGGGAACAAATAAATTAACTAGTTTGCCCCTTCCCTATCTTCATCATCACGTTGCTCCATGTTTAATATTGATTGGCCAATAGCATTTATTCATGCATTGATAATCTTGTCTTGAGAATTATTTTTGGCTCCACCTTTGACATGAGTTGCAACAGAGAAGTAGATAGGTTTGGGAGATAAGCTTCTCAACCAACTATGTCCCATGTAGTAATGGTCTTCTTAAATTTAGGTTCATCATTGATCACTTATTGATTTAATTTATCAAATGCAAATTACCTTTCAACACCCCCTCTTAATTTGCAATTTGAAATAACTTCTTGAACTTCTCAAATTTCTCACGGGTAACCAACCGCCTTTGTCATGATATCTGCTTGGCTGGTCGTCGGTGTTGATAAATTCCATCACGATTAATCCTTCGTTGACGAGGTCTCGGAAGAAATGATGACGCAACTCGATATGCTTCGATCTTGCGTGAAATACTGGATTCTTTGTCATGGCTATGGCTGACATGTTGTCACAATGAATAATGGTTGGACCATTTTCATTTTGCTGCAAATCAGAAATTAATCTTTTTAGCCATACCGCTTCGCATGCTGCATCTGTAGCTGCGATATATTCTGCTTCCGCTGAGGATAATGCCACAGTCTTCTGCTTCTTTGAACTCCAGGAAATGGGTTTTGAACCCAGGCAGAATATGTACCCCGATGTGCTTTTTCGATCATCCAGTGATCCTGCCCAGTCACTATCGGTATATCCAGTCAGCTTGCTTTCTGCTTCTTTCTTGTATGTCAGGCCCAATTTTTTAGTACCTTGAAGATACCGCAAAATTCTTTTGGCTGCTGCAAAATGAAGTTTGCTAGGTTCATTCATAAATCTTGATATAAGACTTACTGAATGACATATATCCGGCCTGGTATGTGTCAGGTAAATGAGTGACCCGACAAGACTTCTGTACAGCTTTCCATCAACTTTTTCAGCTCCATCATTGCGTTGTAATTTCTCGTTTAACGCCATGGTGTTGAGATTGGTTTGCACGTTCCCATGTGAAATCTTTTCAGCATATCTTCGGTGTACTTCTCCTGTGAAATAAATATTTCTCCAGGTGACTACTTCACTTGGATCCCAAGAAAATATTTCATGACTCCCAAGTCCGTCATTTCGAATTCTTTCATCATGGTACTTTTGAATTCTTCGATCATATGTTGATTTGTACCTGTGTAAATCAAGTCATCAACATACAAACAAACCATTAGAAAATCTTTTCCTTCTCCCTTTTTGATGTAGAGAGATGCTTCACTCGGACTTCTTTGAAATCCATTCTGCTGAAAATATTGATTGATTTTGCTGTTCCGGGCTCTCGGTGCTTGCTTTAGCCCGTATAAAGCCTTTCGGAGACGATAGACTTTGTCTTCTTCTCCTTTTTTCTCATAGCCTCGTGGTTGTTCCACATAGACTTCTTCTTCCAGTTCTCCATTCAGAAATGTTGATTTGACATCCAGCTGGTATACTGGTAACTCCAGTTGAGCAGCTAGAGCGAGAAATGTTTTGATGGTCTCCATCCTCGCTACTGGTGCATATGTCTCGTGAAAATCAATACCAGGCTGTTGTGAATAGCCCTTTAACACCAGTCGAGCTTTGTACTTCTGGATAGTACCATCTTCATTGAATTTGATCTTATAGATCCATTTGAGACCTATAACCGGCTTGTCCTCCGGTTGATCAACAAGCTCCCATGTCTTGTTTTTCTCGATCATAGAAATTTCTGCATCCATCGCCTCATTCCAAACTTCATCTTTGGCTGCTTCTTCAAAGACTTGAGGCTCACAAGAAAAATATGCAACATGACTTGTTTCATAAATTTCTTGCAAAGACCTTGTTCTCAACGGAGGTGAATCCAAGTCTGTTACGACGTCTCTGAAGTTGTCTCCTTCTGGGCTAGCTGCAGAATTTCTTTCTGGACTAGCAACTGGATCTGGGTCGTTGCTGGGATCTTCTGGAGTTGCTGAGTCCTCCAGAATTTCATAACATGGTGGAGATTGAGAAATTGGATTTTCCCAATTCCACTCCGCCATCTCATCAAAGATCACATCTCGGGAAACTATCACCTCATTCTTTACTGGATTGTAAAGACGATAGCCTTTGGATTCATCACTGTAGCCGGTGAAGATCAGCTTCTCTCCCTTCTGGTCAAACTTGTCTCGGTTTGGGGTAGAAATATGTGCATAAGCTATGCACCCAAAGACTTTGAGGTGATCCACCTGTGGCCTCCTGTGGTGCCACGCATGTATCGGTGTCTTGTTCCGTACTGCTTTGGTTGGTGATCTGTTGAGGATGTAAATTGTCGTGTTGACTGCTTCTGCCCACAAGTTGTTGGGAAGCTTCTTAGCTTTGAGCATACTTCTCGCCATCTCCACAATCGTACGGTTTTTCTGTTCTGCCACGCCATTTTGTTGTGGCGTGTAACGAACCGTCAGCTGCCTTTTGATTCCGTTGTTGCGGCAATACTCCATGAACGGAGTATAAATAAATTCTCCTCCACGATCTGTACGGAGAGTTTTGATTTGATGGCCACTTTCCTTCTCAGATACTGCTTGGAATTGAAGGAATTTGGGAAAAGCTTCTGACTTTTGCTCCAGAAAGAATACCCACATCATTCTGGTGAAGTCATCTACAAATAGTAGAAAGTATCTTTTGCCGCTGAGTGATTGTGTTCTGGTTGGACCGCATATGTCTGCATGTACCAACTCCAGTGGCGCTTTTGCTCTCCAAGATGTCTTTGGAAATGGTAAACGATGCATTTTGCCATATATGCATCCTTCACCGATTTTGTCTTCTCTGTTGATCTGGGGAAGTCCCACCACCATATTTTTCTGCCTCAGCAATTTGAGGCCTTTGAAGTTGAAATGACCGTATCTGAGATGCCATAGGAAGGATTGATCCAGATTTTCACTCTTGAATGCTACTTCACCATTTTGTGACGTAGCAAGAGAGAAAATTCTGTTGGAAGTCATCGGGACTTTGGCCACCATGAAATTGTCAGCTTTGTTGATAATCTCGCACACGCCATTATCAAACAATAGCTTGTAATTTTTCAGCATCAGTTGTCCCACGCTAAGTAGATTGAGAGTTAGCTCCGGAACATACAAAACATCTCGGATGAGAGTTTTGTTACCTTCTTCTGTGCATACAACAACTGTGCCTTTTCCTTCCACTTTTAGCTTCTTCCCGTCTCCCAATTTGACTTGAGAGCGGTATTTGTCATCGATGTCGGTGAAGGACTCCAGATCTCCAGTCATGTGGTTACTGCAACCACTATCCACCATCCAGGGAAGCTGTGTTTTTTGCTCACCATTCAAGCATGATAAGGCCACCATATTGCTTTCTTCATTTTTGGTGCCGCTTGACTCGCCTTCTTCTTGCTTGTTCTGGAACCAGCAATCTCTCTAGGAGTGGTTTTGAATTCTGCACTTGGTGCACTTGAATCTGCAGTCTTTTGTTGCATGACCCGCCTTTTTGCAAATTATGCAACTCGAGCCGGTGTAGCCCGATCTTTGTTGTTGATAATTTTGTCTGTTGTTTCCTCTGTAATTGGATCTTCCTCTTCCTCTTCCTTGTGAGTTTCCCCCTCTCTGGCCTTTCTCTGATTTGGCATATTTACTTTCCGTCATGTTGACTTTTGACGAGAAAGCTTGCTCCAATGGCGGTTTTGTGAAGCGGCTCATTATTTGCTCGTGTGCTACAAGTGAGCCCATCAACTCGCTCATTGGTAGATTTGCCAAATCTTTGGTTTCTTCAATGACAGCAACAATATGCTCGAACTTTGATGACAAACTGTGGAGAATTCTCTCCACAATTTTTCTTTCTTCCATGACGTCACCAGTGGCTTTGATCTGGTTGACTGTCTCCGCCACACGCGAATGGAAGTCTTTAATGGTGTCGGTTTCCTTCATCATCAAGTTGTCAAACTGTCGCCATAAACTTTGTCGCCTGATGGAGATCGCCTTTTCAGAACCTTGGAATTGTTCACGCAAGACATCCCAAGCTTCTTTGGCCTTTTTGATGCCATAGATTCTGGGGTAAATTGATTTGCTCACTGCTTGCTGAATGATTCTCAAGGCGCTGGCATTTTGCTTGGCATTCTCCTAGTACTCCTTTGTCTGCTTGCCTGCTCGTTTCTTCGAGTCTTCATCCTCGTCTTGTGGATCTTCATATCCTTCTTGGACGATATCCCATAGATCTTGAGAGATGAAAATAGGCTCCATTTGGGCACTCCAGTACTCGTACAATTCACCATCGAAAATGGGAATTTGATTTGAAAAGGTAGCAAACATGGTATGTGATGAAGTTGTTGCCATGAGTTTTTGAGTAGATTTGGGTAGGCTAGAAAAATGGGGATTTAAGAGGATAGAAGGGTATTAAGCTCTGATACCAAATTTGTTGGGTATTAGCGGAAATGTGGTATGATTTAGGATCAACACAAAGGAAACATATGGTGTTTAATCACTCAATTTAAGAAACACTCAAACAAACATAGCCTTATAATAATTGGCTTATGCTTTAACTCACAAATTCAGAACTCATACACGGCAATTTTCTTTTCTTTCTTGCCAACACTTTCTGACTCTCTACTTCCCATGCCCATACTTTGTTACATATATATATCATGAAAGTAGAAAGAATTACATATCAATTGACAACTTGGGGAACAAATAAATTAACTAGTTGGCCCCTTCCCTATCTTCATCATCACGTTGCTCCATGTGACTATGTTTAATATTGATTGGCCAATAGCATTTATTCATGCATTGATAATCTTGTCTTGAGAATTATTTTTGGCTCCATCTTTGACATGAGTTGCAGCAGAGAAGTAGATAGGTTTGGGAGATAAGCTTCTCAACCAACCATGTCCCATGTAGTAATGGTCTTCTTAAATATAGGTTCATCATTGATCACTTATTGATTTAATTTATCAAATGCAAATTACCTTTCAACACCCCCTCTTAATTTGCAATTTGAAATAACTTCTTGAACTTCTCAAATTTCTCACGGGTAACCAACCGCCTTTGTCATGATATCTGCTTGGCTGGTCGTCGGTGTTGATAAATTCCATCACGATTAATCCTTCGTTGACGAGGTCTCGGAAGAAATGATGACGCAACTCGATATGCTTCGATCTTGCGTGAAATACTGGATTCTTTGTCATGGCTATGGCTGACATGTTGTCACAATGAATAATGGTTGGACCATTTTCATTTTGCTGCAAATCAGAAATTAATCTTTTTAGCCATACCGCTTCGCATGCTGCATCTGTAGCTGCGATATATTCTGCTTCCGCTGAGGATAATGCCACAGTCTTCTGCTTCTTTGAACTCCAGGAAATGGGTTTTGAACCCAGGCAGAATATGTACCCCGATGTGCTTTTTCGATCATCCAGTGATCCTGCCCAGTCACTATCGGTATATCCAGTCAGCTTGCTTTCTGCTTCTTTCTTGTATGTCAGGCCCAATTTTTTAGTACCTTGAAGATACCGCAAAATTCTTTTGGCTGCTGCAAAATGAAGTTTGCTAGGTTCATTCATAAACCTTGATATAAGACTTACTGAATGACATATATCCGGCCTGGTATGTGTCAGGTAAATGAGTGACCCGACAAGACTTCTGTACAGCTTTCCATCAACTTTTTCAGCTCCATCATTGCGTTGTAATTTCTCGTTTAACGCCATGGTGTTGAGATTGGTTTGCACGTTCCCATGTGAAATCTTTTCAGCATATCTTCGGTGTACTTCTCCTGTGAAATAAATATTTCTCCAGGTGACTGCTTCACTTGGATCCCAAGAAAATATTTCATGACTCCCAAGTCCGTCATTTCGAATTCTTTCATCATGGTACTTTTGAATTCTTCGATCATATGTTGATTTGTACCTGTGTAAATCAAGTCATCAACATACAAACAAACCATTAGAAAATCTTTTCCTTCTCCCTTTTTGATGTAGAGAGATGCTTCACTCGGACTTCTTTGAAATCCATTCTGCTGAAAATATTGATTGATTCTGCTATTCCAGGCTCTCGGTGCTTGCTTTAGCCCGTATAAAGCCTTTCGGAGACGATAGACTTTGTCTTCTTCTCCTTTTTTCTCATAGCCTCGTGGTTGTTCCAAATAGACTTCTTCTTCCAGTTCTCCATTCAGAAATGCTGATTTGACATCCAGCTGGTATACTGGTAACTCCAGTTGAGCAGCTAGAGCGAGAAATGTTCTGATGGTCTCCATCCTCACTACTGGTGCATATGTCTCGTGAAAATCAATACCGGGCTGTTGTGAATAGCCCTTTAACACCAGTCGAGCTTTGTACTTCTGGATAGTACCATCTTCATTGAATTTGATCTTATAGATCCATTTGAGACCTATAACCGGCTTGTCCTCCGGTTGATCAACAAGCTCCCATGTCTTGTTTTTCTCGATCATAGAAATTTCTGCATCCATCGCCTCATTCCAAACTTCATCTTTGGCTGCTTCTTCAAAGACTTGAGGCTCACAAGAAAAATATGCAACATGACTTGTTTCATAAATTTCTTGCAAAGACCTTGTTCTCAACGGAGGTGAATCCGAGTCTGTTACGACGTCTCTGAAGTTGTCTCCTTCTGGGCTAGGTGCAGAATTTCTTTCTGGACTAGCAACTGGATCTGGGTAGTTGCTGGGATCTTTTGGAGTTGCTGAGTCCTCCAGAATTTCATAACTTGGTGGAGATTGAGAAATTGGATTTTCCCAATTCCACTCCGCCATCTCATCAAAGATCACATCTCGGGAAACTATCACCTCATTCTTTACTGGATTGTAAAGACGATAGCCTTTGGATTCATCACTGTAGCCGGTGAAGATCAGCTTCTCTCCCTTCTTGTCAAACTTGTCTCGGTTTGGGGTAGAAATATGTGCATAAGCTATGCACCCAAAGACTTTGAGGGGATCCACCTGTGGCCTCCTGTGGTGCCACGCATGTATCGGTGTCTTGTTCCGTACTGCTTTGGTTGGTGATCTGTTGAGGATGTAAATTGTCGTGTTGACTGCTTCTGCACACAAGTTGTTGGGAAGCTTCTTAGCTTTGAGCATACTTCTCGCCATCTCCACAATCGTACGGTTTTTCCGTTCTGCCACGCCATTTTGTTGTGGCGTGTAACGAACCGTCAGCTGCCTTTTGATTCCGTTGTTGCGGCAATACTCCATGAACGGAGTATAAATAAATTCTCCTCCACGATCTGTACGGAGAGTTTTGATTTGATGGCCACTTTCCTTCTCAGCTACTGCTTGGAATTGAAGGAATTTGGGAAAAGCTTCTGACTTTTGCTCCAGAAAGAATACCCACATCATTCTGGTGAAGTCATCTACAAATAGTAGAAAGTATCTTTTGCCGCTGAGTGATTGTGTTCTGGTTGGACCGCATATGTCTGCATGTACCAACTCCAGTGGCGCTTTTGCTCTCCAAGATGTCTTTGGAAATGGTAAACGATGCATTTTGCCATATATGCATCCTTCACAGATTTTGTCTTCTCTGTTGATCTGGGGAAGTCCCACCACCATATTTTTCTGCCTCAGCAATTTGAGGCCTTTGAAGTTGAGATGACCGTATCTGAGATGCCATAGGAAGGATTGATCCAGATTTTCACTCTTGAATGCTACTTCACCATTTTGTGACATAGCAAGAGAGAAAATTCTGTTGGAAGTCATCGGGACTTTGGCCACCATGAAATTGTCAGCTTTGTTGATAATCTCGCACACGCCATTATCAAACAATAGCTTGTAATTTTTCAGCATCAGTTGTCCCACGCTAAGTAGATTGAGAGTTAGCTCCGGAACATACAAAACATCTCGGATGAGAGTTTTGTTACCTTCTTCTGTGCATACAACAACTGTGCCTTTTCCTTCCACTTTTAGCTTCTTCCCGTCTCCCAATTTGACTTGAGAGCGGTATTTGTCATCGATGTCGGTGAAGGACTCCAGATCTCCAGTCATGTGGTTACGGCAACCACTATCCACCATCCAGGGAAGCTGTGATTTTTGCTCACCATTCAAGCATGATAAGGCCACCATATTGCTTTCTTCATTTTTGGTGCCGCTTGACTCGCCTTCTTCTTGCTTGTTCTGGAACCAGCAATCTCTCTAGGAGTGGTTTTGAATTCTGCACTTGGTGCACTTGAATCTGCAGTTTTTTGTTGCATGACCCGCCTTTTTGAAAATTATGCAACTCGAGCCGGTGTAGCCCGATCTTTGTTGTTGATAATTTTGTCTGTTGTTTCCTCTGTAATTGGATCTTCCTCTTCCTCTTCCTTGTGAGTTTCCCCCTCTCTGGCCTTTCTCCGATTTGGCATATTTACTTTCCGTCATGTTGACTTTTGACGAGAAAGCTTGCTCCAATGGCGGTTTGGTGAAGCGGCTCATTATTTGCTCGTGTGCTACAAGTGAGCCCATCAACTCGCTCATTGGTAGATTTGCCAAATCTTTGGTTTCTTCAATGACAGCAACAATATGCTCGAACTTTGATGACAAACTGCGGAGAATTCTCTCCACAATTTTTCTTTCTTCCATGACGTCACCAGTGGCTTTGATCTGGTTGACTGTCTCCGCCACACGCGAATGGAAGTCTTTAATGGTGTCGGTTTCCTTCATCATCAAGTTGTCAAACTGTCGCCATAAACTTTGTCGCCTGATGGAGATCGCCTTTACAGAACCTTGGAATTGTTCACGCAAGACATCCCAAGCTTCTTTGGCCTTTTTGATGCCATAGATTCTGGGGTAAATTGATTTGCTCACTGCTTGCTGAATGATTCTCAAGGCGCTGGCATTTTGCTTGGCATTCTCCTTGTACTCCTTTGTCTGCTTGCCTGCTCGTTTCTTCGAGTCTTCATCCTCGTCTTGTGGATCTTCATATCCTTCTTGGACGATATCCCATAGATCTTGAGAGATGAAAATTGGCTCCATTTGGGCACTCCAGTACTCGTACAATTCACCATCGAAAATGGGAATTTGATTTGAAGAGGTAGCAAACATGGTATGTGATGAAGTTGTTGCCATGATTTTTTGAGTAGATTTGGGTAGGCTAGAAAAATGGGGATTTAAGAGGATAGAAGGGTATTAAGCTCTGATACCAAATTTGTTGGGTATTAGCGGAAATGTGGTATGATTTAGGATCAACACAAAGGAAACATATGGTGTTTAATCACTCAATTTAAGAAACACTCAAACAAACATAGCCTTATAATAATTGGCTTATGCTTTAACTCACAAATTCAGAACTCATACACGGCAATTTTCTTTTCTTTCTTGCCAACACTTTCTGACTCTCTACTTCCCATGCCCATACTTTGTTACATATATATATCATGAAAGTAGAAAGAATTACATCTCAATTGACAACTTGGGGAACAAATAAATTAACTAGTTGGCCCCTTCCCTATCTTCATCATCACGTTGCTCCATGTGACTATGTTTAATATTGATTGGCCAATAGCATTTATTCATGCATTGATAATCTTGTCTTGAGAATTATTTTTGGCTCCATCTTTGACATGAGTTGCAGCAGAGAAGTAGATAGGTTTGGGAGATAAGCTTCTCAACCAACCATGTCCCATGTAGTAATGGTCTTCTTAAATTTAGCTTCATCATTGATCACTTATTGATTTAATTTATCAAATGCAAATTACCTTTCAACAGAACAGGGGAGGGGAATTGAGCCTCGAGCGTTTTGGTAGAACCCGATGATGTAGACGGAGCTAAGGATAAGGTTTGATAAGGTTTGGTCGTTTGATTTTGGAGGCAGTGATTAGGTGATGGTGATTAGAGAACGACGGCGCCATGGAAGGGGTTGGAAGAAGAAAAGAGGAACTTTGGAAGGGCAACGAGATGTTTTTAGATTAGGGTTTGAGTTTTGGGCTTTTTGGAATTTTGGAATAATAAAAGGGAACTTTTTAATTGTAGGTAATTATTTTTTATTTTAATTTAAATTACAAAATTATATTATATTATTTAGTGATGTGGCACACGCATAAGCCACATCAGACGTGTTTTGCTGAGTCACTAACGGAGTAAGTGTTTGACCGTCAATATAAACGGTCAATGAAAATTTTGGGCCAAATCTGTCCATTAATTTGAAAAGTAGCCCATAACTGTCTTATTGAAAAATTCGGGCCAAAACTGACACTTACACCAAACTAGGGTATTAAGCCATATTAATAACACATGTAAATACTATTTGACAAAATACACTTGTATAGCCAAAACTATCACGCTTATGCCACTTATATCCACATTTGGCGAAATACCACTAATAGCCACTTTCGTCCAATTCTTTAACGGTGTCAGTTAATAAGCTGATTGGACAAACAGAAAAGCTGAGTTGGCAAGTTTCTCTATTAACAATTTTGTGCTGGATTAATTTCAAAAAATAACAGTAAAAATTAAAATTAAAAAGAAACAAAAAATTCTCCACCCATCCCTCCA